GTTCTGTTTTGCTTATAGTCATTGAGTGTTCTATATGTATCACTTCTGTGTATTTTTAATTCTTTCCCTATATTTGGAAAATTTTCTGCTATTATTTCTCTAAACAGGTTTTTATGCCCTTTGTGCCATTTTCTGATTTTTCATTTATTCAAATTAATCTTTGATTGGTTTTCTATGCACCATTTAGCAGCTCTCGAATACATTTTTCATGTCTCTCATTCTCTAAGGAAACTAAGAGGCACCTCTCTAAGGTATCTGAGTAAATTGGTCTTTGAAATCATCCCTAAAGTGGGGCATGGAGGTGTGCGCATGTAATTCCAGAATTCAGGAGGCTAAGGCAGGAGGATTGTTGCAAGTTTAAGACCAAGCTGATCTACAAAGTGAGCTCAAGGCCAGCCTGAATTTCATATCAAGACTCTGTCTCAAAAAGATAACAACAAAAAACATTTCTATAATTCTGATAGTCCACCCATTAATTGCATCTGTGCCCATACTTTCAACAGCCCAGATTTCTGTCTGTAAACTTCTCATGGACTCAAATTTTTTACTAGTCGCTCATGTTTTGTATCGTTTTATTTAGGCCAGCTAACTTCCTACTAATATGTTGGATAAGTCAGGTGTGTTTCTTGTATACAGCATATTGATGGACTCTATCTCCTGAATCACTCTGAACGTGGTTCTTTATATTACATTACTTTTTTACATTAATGGTTATGGTTGACATGCACAGGCTCATCTCTACCATGCCCTCCTGTGGGCCAACGCCCTCCACTTTTCCCCTCCATTCAATTACCTGCCCTGCTCAGTGACCCCCTCTGCTACTGTTCCTGAAATTGTGATCATCTTTGTCAATCTCTAGAATATCCTTCAGCACTCTTTGTAGGACTATTTTAGTGGTCATGAATTCTTTCAGTTGTTCTTTGTCATGAAAATATCTTGTTTCTCCATTAATTTTGAAAGATAGTTTTATAGGGTACTTCAATCTGGGTTGGAAGTTGTTTTCTTTCAGGACTTGAAACATTTCACTCCAAGCTCTTCTTGACTTGAGGGCTTGTGTTGAGAAGTCTACAGTGATTCAGATGGGTTTTCCTTTATATGTTATCTGTTTTTTTTTTCTCTAACAGCTTTTAATATTCTATTCTTGTGCTTAATCTAGAATCTTGATTATTATATGTCTGAGTGTAGATTTATTTTGGTTATGACTAGTTGGAGTTCTATGTGCCTCACTTATCTGAATGTCAGGTCCTTTTCCCATGCTTAGGAAGTTTTCTGCTATTACTTCTGTAAATAGTCTTTTTATGTCGTTTGTGTTGACTCCTGCTTTTTTGCTGACACCTATCAATCTTAAATTATTTTTCTTTGTATAATCTTGTAGCTATTGAATTGTTATTTTCTATTTTCTTATTTTTAAAAGAGTTCCCCTTTTGTGACTACTAGCTGCAATTCTGTCTTCACAATCTCCAAGTCTACCTCCAGTTTCTTTCAAGCAGTTTTTCCAGCTTTCATCAGAGTTTTTAATTTCCAGGGTAGCTCTTTGAATCTGTTTCATGCACTGTAATTCTTAATTGTTCATTCACAGTTTCATCATTTTCCTATGCTCCTCTTTTTTATCTATGTCTTTGTATTCTTTAGATAAGCTTGGCAATTATTTCATGTTTGTTACTTCTTCCTCTACCTGAGATATTATTCCTGATCTGGTTACTTTTACAGCCTCATGAGGTTGTTTCTTTACTTCAGAAATTTACTTTCAGAAATTTTAAGTGTATGGCTTCTACTTTCTTCCATGTTTATGTCTCCTACATTTGTTCTGTATGGGCTGGAAGTCTGAGACTGCCTTTTGCTCCTTCATCTTGACAGTTGCCTGGATTCCTGTGGATAAGCCAGTTATGGGTTTTCAGGTGCTTCCCATGTTGGCTGTCCATCTTCACTGTAGTGTAGAAGTGGGCCAGGCACCTGGGTTTCTTTTAACCTAGGTTCCCAGGGAGGTGGTGAGATGCAGGGAAGGCTTCTCCAGAAATGTGTAGCTGCACTGAGACTCCTCCAATGGTTGCAAGTATGTGAGGGCTTGGCTGGCTGCTTCTTCTGGGCCATACTTACTACCAGTCTCAATGGCAGCGAACAGGCTTGTGAGGATGTGGCTAGCTAGTTTTCCTGGCTTGTGCTGACTATCTGTCTTGATGATGGCTAGCAGGCTCTTTGTATTGAAACCTAAATACTAAACTCCTGTCTACCTGGGAGACCAAAAACTCTGAGGGTCTGTCCCAATGTTGTTCATCTTTGTTTTTATAACTATCTTAACTATTTTATATACATATACATACACATATACATACACTTTTTCTTTCAACTTGTTACACTAATGAAACAATACGATGTTTAATTTATCTTTGGGAGCCTTGTGTCAGATAACAATGCACCTGATGTTTCCTTATTTCAGAGAAACCTCTCCAGCCATGAGGAGGTGTCACCTAAAGTCACCATACAAAAGGGTGGAAGAGTCAGGATGTTGCACTCTTCCTGCAGGCTCTGCAGAAACCCCATTGGGAAAACCCCACTGGGTGATCAGACAAGGTTCTTCTCCCACCTCAAGGCAATTTCTAGATTTCTTTCATGTAAAAGCAACAAGTGTTAACAGGTCCTATGCCTCGTGGAATGCAGGAGCAGAATGGAAGGAGCAGTGCTGCCTCAGTGAAGAGGCTCTGACTGAAGCCCAAGTGAGTACGTCCTTCAGCACTCATTCAGACCTACTGCACAATGCTGGAGAAGGTCATTTCATAATGGTGAAGAGATAAATTATCAAAGAGACATCAAAGACCTAAGTTGCTATATCCTTAACAATACTCAAAGGGACAAAAGGAATTCAAAGGGACAAAATTGATACAGGAGGCAAAATCTGATAGTATTATGTATTCATTAACTAAGACTCCCATAGCAAAGTAATGCAGTCCAAAGGCTTACACAACAGAGATATAATTTCTCACACTTATGACAGTCAACAGTCTTAGATCAAGGTGTGAGAGTTTTTGTTTCTGGGTTTGTTTTTTTTTCCCTGAGGATCATGAGGGAAAGATCTGTTCTCAGTCTCTCTGCTTGGCTTATAGATAGCCATCTTCTTCCTATGTCTATTTGGATGGTTCTGCCTACACTGGTTCCTTTAAAATTTCCCAGAATTAAATACAATACATTTAAACACAAGTATGTTCACACTTCTGTCATTAATGCTGTTAATGTTCCCAGGTAGAAGAAGTGATCCAAAAAAGAAAGCATAGGAGATCGAGTGAACTCAGTAATGATTGTATCCCAATGGAGTCTATTTAAATGCAGTTCTTGGTTGAAATAATTTTTGAAAAGTTAGGAAGGTGGCCTCTGTCTTAGTTACTTTTCTGTCATTGCTGGGATCAAATACCCAACACTCAAAGTTAGGAATGAAAGGTTTATTTAGCTCACAGTCTGTGGAGGTTTCAGTCTATAAACTGCTGGCTCTGAGGCAGAGTGCCATGGTACAAAGGCTGTACAGTTCAAGGATGAAGAAGACAGCAAAAGCAACAAAGAGCACAAAAGTGGAGGACAAGCCTCTTTTCCTCCCTTATATTGTTAGGAGGCTACCTGCCCTCAGGTGGAGGTAGCACTCACACCATCTTATTTTGCACAGGCTCAGGATGTTTACAAGTGAGGACCCTGACCACTGCTGAGTTGCTAAACTTGTCAAGCTGACACAAATATCAAGAATTACAGCCTCTGCGATACATTAGTGATTGGCTCTCTCCAACACCACACAGAATCTAAAAAATTGACTCATCTGTTTAAAAATTGATTCATTTCAGGCATATTTACTACATGAGGAAAAAATTTTGTTTTTTTTTTTTAAGATGAGTTCTCACTGTGTAGCTCAGGCAAGCCTTGGACTATGTAACCCAGGCTGGCCTCAAACCCAAATGATCCTCCTGTCTCACTCTCCTAAGTATTAGAATTATTGGTGTGTGCCACCACATTTTAAGGAGTTAGTTTGATGAATTTTTGTTTGAACCCAGCGTCTTGCTTAGAACATTTGATTCTATTCTCCATCATACAAGAAAGGTCCCTCCATACATCATTAGATTACAATTATATCAGGGAACTATCAATTAAATTAAATGTGCCATAGATGAGTTTGCAATGTTCTAGGACTTCATCCAATTTAAACACGCATTTGGTGCTCTGTTTGATCTGGTTTCTTTCTCCCTTCATACTATATGTGAGGTTCATCTAAACTCTTGCGCCTATCAGAAGTATATATATCATCTTATTGCTGAGTATCTTATCACTGAATAAATACATCATTTTTGTAACCACTCACACATGAAAGACTAGTTCTCTGTTTCCAATTTTTAGAATAATCTTCATAATCGTGCCCTTATGAACAGACGAGACTATGCATACAATCACCTCGGACTAGAATTGCTGAACCATAACATAGAAAAGGTTGAACTGGATGTGGATGTTTTTCTTTTCCTGACCACTGTTTAGCCTAACATTCCCTCAGTCACCACCCAAATTCCATTGTTATCATAAACCTTAAACATTCTTGGAGAAATGAACATCCTCTTAAAATCACAGAACCATTTGAGGTTTCATCTTTATTACATGTTAAATCTTTATCTCATATCAGTGTAAGAAAAGACATTTCTACCATAAAATTGTATAAGACCAACTTATTCTTCTCCTCCTTATGACTTCCTTATTGTTTCTAGGTTCATTTTTAATTTCATGGTAATCCCTTGCCTCATTGTAGTTTGAGGGAAAAAAATCATAACAGTCCCAAGTTGCATCAATTCCACTTATCCTTCCCCCATGTAGAACTTCTATTTAGGTTTGGAGACATTTCAGCCCAGGTATACACTACTTTACCAAATAACTCCCACTGTTTCCTTTCCCTAAACACCCCACCTTAGAGACTCCAGCTCACTGACTCACAGCATTGTTATGTAATAGTCTAGTCCTGCTCTTTCATTGGCCAAGACTACAGCTTCACTCCATCCTCCCCAAAACAGACTAATCGGAAAGTCCATGTCTGAGGAACAGCCTTGCTTATCTTCCACTTGCCTGCATAGGCTTAGCTTCAAGGCTCCCTTACTCATGGGGCCTTCCAGGGCTCAAAATCTCCTGACAGGTGCTCTCTGCCTTTCTGTGTTCTCGGCAGTCCTATCCCCTGTCTGCTGTTCCCATGACCCACCGACATGGCACTTCACTTCCTCAGAAGTTGTTATCCCCAGGAAAGTGCCCCACAAAATGGATGGAAGCAAGACACCAGAACAGCTCTCCTACACTATGCGCTTCCGTGGCCAAAGACACGTGATCCATATGAAGCTCAAAAAGAACTTGCTGCCCAAAGACTTTATGGTTGCTACCAACAATGACCAAGGGGCGATACAGGAGGACTACCCATTTGTCCCTCGAAACTGTTACTACAGCAGCTACCTGGAGGGAGTTCCTGGCTCCACAGCCACACTGGACACTTGCTCTGGAGGTCTGCGTGGCATGCTGCAGCTGGATGACTTTACTTATGAAATCAAACCACTGGCGGCTTCATCCAAATTTGAGCATATAGTTTCTCTACTTGTGGCACAATATGTATCAGAGAAAGATAAAAAGTGTGACATTCCTGAGGACGAGGCAGATCAACTACTTGAAGAGGTAAAACTTGTTGAAAGTTCAAGGTCAGCTCCTGTCTATCTGTGGCGGATACATAGAAAACAGATCCATGTTCACTACACAATAAGTAACTCACTCTGGGCTCAGGATCAAAATCAGTCTCGTGTTGTAGAGAAGATAGTGATTATAAACAACATAAATCATAGCATTTTTAGACCAATGGGCTTAAATGTATTCGTACGTATGGTGTGCATATGGTCCGGCGGCGATCAAGTAAGTTTAGCAGGAACATCACCTTCGAGAACGATAAGTCATTTTGGTATATGGAAAATACACAGATGGTATCAGAACTACCCTCATTCCGTTTCAGCAATCCTTACCGGACACAGCATAGGAACCTTCAATTATTATGCTAATCGTGATGGTATGTGCAACCCCAATTGGGGAGTACTTTATTTGTTTATGTCAAGGTACCACATATTTATGTCTGCAGCAATACTAGCACATGCAATGGGTCATAGCATAAATATGCATCATGACTCTGAAGGTTGTGTCTGTTTTCGAAGAAGCCATTGTCTTATGTCTCCTACACCTGGTTTTTTTGATACAGCAAGCAATTGTTCTTTTACAGAAGTACACAGGAGAATTCATAGTTGGGATGTTTGTTTGAGTAGGATGTTCGTTCCATACAATAATTTTCCTTATGTAGCTCCTCGTTGTGGAGACAAAATAGTAAATAACAATGAGGACTGTGACTGTGGGACCCTTAAAGCATGTGCCTCGAGTAAGTGCTGTACAACCGATTGTGTTTTTACGGCTGGCAGTGTATGTAATTCAGGGGAATGCTGTGTGAAGTGTGAATACGCTCTCCCTGGAGTTATATGCAGAGACACGCTTGGTATTTGTGATCTGCCAGAATACTGTAGTGGGAAAAATGAGAGTTGCCCCCATGACTTTTACATCCAAGATGGAACCCCATGTTCACCTCAAGCTGTTTGTATGCATGGAAACTGCAGTGATCGTGACTTACAATGTCAAGCTCTGTTTGGATACGAAGTAAAAGATGCTCCAAAACTATGCTATGAGAAATTGAACATAATAGGCGACCGATTTGGAAACTGTGGACTTAGGGAGCAGAGACCAGGAGTTATACCTAGTAAATGCGACGCTGATAATGTTCTTTGTGGAATATTGCACTGCAGCAGTCCTGGAATAGTTCCAGGAGGAGGTGAGCACACTACATTTCATGATATAATAATACAAGATGTTAAACAGGAACACTGCTTTGGTTATGATGTACACCTTGGGACAGAGATACCAGAAATGGGACTTGTAGTAGATGGTGCAACCTGTGGCCCAGGAAGATTCTGCCGTAAACAAAATTGTACTTTTCATGACGACATGGGTTTTGACTGTGATGTGAAGAGCTGCAATTTCAGAGGAGTGTGTAATAATTTAAAACACTGCCACTGTGCACGTGGTTATAATCCACCAAATTGTTCAGGGCGAGGACTAGGTGGCAGTGTGGATAGTGGCCCTCCACCTACCAGAGAAGAAGGTATTCGAGCCAGAATAATTTTCGCTGTCAATGAGACGTTACTGCTAATTATTGTTCGATTTGGTCTTCTTCTGGCTGCAATGGTCATTGGTGGATGTATAAGAGCAAAAAGAGCTGTAGAAAAGAAAGTATATCAGGAGGAATATGAGGAAAGTGAAAGTGAAAGCTCTGACTAAAACATGGGAGCTACAGTGAAAAGCATCACAGTGGCACTTGTTGAAAGAAATGATGGATGATCCTTCTATGAATTACATAATTCATAGTAGTAATTCTGACATTGCTGTCTTGGAATAAAATCACAAGGGAATAAAAATGTGTCTGTGTTTAAAATTCTTTTTTTTTTTTTTTAATTTTGAAGCCAGGGTTACACCTTGGAGCTTGAGTGGGCCAAGTAAGTATTCTGTCAAATTATCTTCAAAATAGTGAGATAGACTGTTGTAACTTTAGGCAAAGTGTGCTCTGTTAGTTTGATATGCATGAATAATATTTAATAGTTCAAGTTGTGGGTTATAAACCAAAACGGCAACAGTGTCAGCACTGAGACACTATAGGAACACTGCTTAAACTGGTATTTAACTGTTACCAGAGGTCTGAGACAGACTCAGCACATCCTTCTCTACATAGTTGCATTTAATCAATCATTGCTGGTACATAAACCTTCAAGTGAACCTTTACATGATTTTTTTCCTGTTTATGGAGTTTTAACATATGGAGTGACAGCTGAAGCTGCAGATGAAATGGTTACAGGTCACTGGAAGTGAAAGGCAGGGGAATGAGCAGGAATGCAAACAAAACAAAACAAAAAACAGAGATGCGGGTAGCAGAGAGATTGGAGAGGAGTAGGAGAATAAGAAAAGGAAACAAAAGGAGACAGAAATGAGCAGTTTGTTGAAGAAGAGCAGAATATCAAATTGTTGAAAAGGGCCCTCAAAAGACTTGAGACTGTAAAAATGATTTACTTGGTTGACTCTTTTGGAATCAACTAAAATATGCTACCCATGGTATGTATGTTGCCTTGGGTTTTTGCCCTTGTAAGAAATTACAAAAATACTCAAGTCGGACATGCTTCAAGTAACCACTGCACTTTAAGATTGTACTTTCTGAACTCATACCATATTAAGCGCAAACAAAGAAAACTACAATTTTGTGCCACACAGTATATCTGTACAGACTTGGCCTGATAACTGCCTAGATTATGTATTTATATAGTGAAAGAAATAGTTCACACAACAGACTCACCTAAATTCTCTGCTAATCAGACTTGCTTAAATTCTTTGCTCATCTAAATTCTCTACACATCTGAAATCAACAGGAAAATATTGACTTAGATCTGAACAATGAATGGCCTAAAAAATAACGCCTGCAGCCTCTATCCTATGAACAAAATCAGGAGATAGGAAGGCTTACCTCTTCAATAAAGGAACTTAAGTTTCTTTGATACATTATATTTTTGACTCATAACCAAGAAGTGCTGTGGTTTGTCCACATTTTCCCAAGTAATGGCCTCCATCTCTCTTTAAATTATAAATTATAGACAGATATAGATAGAAAACATACTTTTTTCCACATAGAAATTAAGGGCTCTATTCACTTGAGAAGACATTACAGGTGAGCACTCACTGGGAATTTTACAGGATGGAAAGCATAAGGGATGTAAGTAACTCTAGTTCTCATATTAACCAAAACTTGCGGGTGGGATTTCATCCTGTTTACTTGGTCCTGGTTTGGAGAACTCAGTCCAATATAATGGTGTCCTGGTAACCAAGGCTCACACTTTGTGAAGTTTTTGCCTAGTCAAGGAATGTGGTTCAAAAAAGAAAAAAAGAAAAAAAAGGGGGGGACAAAGGAGGAGATGAGTAGCTAGAGTACTTGGTATAATGTGCATTTTAATCTTTTGCATCTTTGTCCCTGATGGGGCTCAGATATTCACAGGTCTACATTGGTACACATGTCCATCCACATTACTGATGCCCAAGGGTAATTCCAACAGTTTCCTAAGTGAATATACTAGGTTCCAAATATAGATTATATATTTCTGCCATTTCTCCACTGAGGATCATCAGCTTTACCCTCCAGATGCTAATCAAGCTCAGTTCCCCCCAGATAGAATGATGACTCTGCTTTTCACTTTCTAGTGCACTGGCACGAGTTGTCTGAGATGTGATAACAGCAACTATGCATGGACTGTCATGGTGGCCATACTATGCCCCCTGAAAAAAGTGTATTTTAATGGATGGAGACCTACAAATACACAGAATACACACTTGCAAGGAAAGGAAACAGAAAAACCACCAGTGGATCACGAAGAATACTGGTGAACAGAGCTACCAGTTTCTCCTCTTTGGTTGTTGTTATTATATATTCTTCCTAGTGGATATTAGGCACCAAATAGGAATCTTAACATATACATGCATAGTGAAGGATGGTACTTAATTCTTGAGTATTATCCTGAGCTGCCACTCTGTGCCTTCCGTATGCCATTGTAACCAACAGTGCTATTTGATAAGTAATACAAGCAATACATTCTACTACAATGGATCCATTCTCATACTTTAATCACTAAAGTGTCATCTGTCCTCATGCTTAATGGTGTATGGTTCCATGGTGCTGGCAAAAAATTGCAGGCAAGACAGGTTGCCATTAGGTAAGTACCCTTCTCCACCCATATTTCCACTGCCATGATATTCTATCTCAGCACAGGGCTCATAGCAATGGAACAAGTCTAAAATGGGATGAAATCATCAATAAAAATCTAAAAACTCCATTATAGCATCTTAGAGGCAGACATACTCATAGGCTTCTTCAGGACACATCATGGACAGGAGATACATGGCTGCAGTGGGTGAATAAGTGCCTCTCAGTGGGAAGGCAACTTGAAAGAGAAGGCACAAAAATTAAATTCAGACATCATGGTTAATACAGAGAGCAAGATATCACTAGATTCTGGCCAGTGCCTATAGACCAGGATAAAGAACATACCACCTTGGAAAATGTACAAATCCCTCTAAGGGAAAAAACTGAGAGCTGTTAACATCCAGCCCACCTGCTACCACCCAGTGTGCACTGGGCCTAGTTATCCCACTGGGACATATAGCCAATGAATGACAGGTTTGCCAGGTAGCCCTTCAAGGACCAGGGAACCATGGAAAATGCAGCTAGAGACTCATTCAAGAGGCAGTGGCTAAGATAGGACCAGTGTGGCCCAGTACTGAATGAAGAGGAGGGCACAGTCCTGGTCACAGCCATAGAACCAGTTCCTGTGAAATCTGTGAGGCAGAAATAGAAGGGTTTTAGTGACTCTGACCTGTGAGAACCATAGGTGGAGAAAAAATTCCAGTGACCTTGATGGGGGCTTTCTTCTGCTGATTCTCAATCCCACAGAAATCACAGACTAGAGAAAGACCATCAAGAAGTTGAATAGCTAGGAAGCTTGTGACTGAGAGTGGAGGAAATATTCTGGATCAGTTCCTACAGAGGCTTTTTCCTGATGGTCCCAAGAAGCCACTGAAACCACGGGGCAGATAGAAACTCACAAAGCAAGACCATTAGAGTGATCTGTGTATAGGGAGGCATCAGATTGGTACATGGGATATGGAGATACAGCCTGCTACCCGACCCTTCCATAACACTGATGTTGTGGACCAGAGAGAGGCTTGGCAGAACAAACGCACAGCTATAAATTGAAATTTCCAGGGTATTAAAGATGTATACATGAGAGAGCAAATAGCAGATCCCATGGCAGGAGTACAATCAGGATCCTGAGGCTGAGATACAGAAGAGAGTGGAACACGAGAACCCTGCCAGCCCCCTGAGAACACCAAAGACTCTAAACCATGTCTGCCTAAAGACAACAGCATAGAAAAGCCAATTTAAAATATTCACCCTGGGTTGGGGGTTTAGCTCAGTGGTGTAACTACCTGTTTGGCAAACACAAGGTTGTGAGTTCAATCCTTGGTACCAAAAAAATTAAAATAAAATATTCATCCTAACTAAAGAACCATAATTGTCCCTGTGCCTTTTTTTTCCCTTTGGCTTGAGCTTGGTCTTGTTATGGATGTGTGTATGGACATAGCTACATGTATAAGGTCCCTGTTGTTGCCTGGTAAGTGGCTGTGGTGTGGCAGACTGTGGCCCCTCCAGGGGGAGAACCACCAGCAGCTCCTGAGATCCACGCCATGTTGGAACTCAGGGCCCTGGGAAACCCAGCAAGCAGCTTGCCTCCCTGCTAAGCAATAGTGAACCTACTGGTACACGGCCTAGAGTCAAACATCCCACTTCCCTTACCCTCCTTTTCCTGTCCCTCCATTAGCAAATGGGAACCAGAAATCTGAGCATCTCTTGGGAGGTTGACCATAGCAAATAAGGGGGATTTCCTTCTACCATCTCTTTGAAGGCAAATCTTTTTATTACTATTTTGCTTTATTCTGATTAATGGTACTGCTCTATTCAATATTGTTTTTTGATAAGTTCTATAATGTTCTGTATTTCATTTTATTTTGATATATGTGTTTGAAAGAACAACTATTGTAAAGATAATGAAATATACTGTGATACCCATTACTGTTATCCCAGTAACCTGCTGTGAAGTTCTGTACCAATTTCACTACACGGTCTCAGTTGGCTTTATTTTGTACTGTTCTGTTGTATTTTACTACTTTCAAAATAAAAAAAAAATCTGTTGTTTTTGAAATGTTCTATGTGTTTAATTATATATGTCCTCATTGGTATTGGTTTTGTTTTTATATATAACTTTTCATGGCTAGCAATTCAACCATGGGATAAACATATGTATCTTCCCTTTATAATCTCTTCCTTCACTCTTTTTTTTCCCATAGATTCTTCTATTTCTCAGCTCCTTCTCCTAAAACTTTGTCTTCCTCTGTGTTACTTTTTCTTTGATCCTCTCCTCACTTTTATACATATGTATTACAATTAGCCCATGTTTCAAGGAGGTTTAATTTTTTTCTACCATATTTTACTTTATTACTTTCCCTGTCATTTCCTGGGATAGTAAGAGTACATGTCCCCTCAAACAAGTTCCTAATAAATTGATAGTAATATAGAGCTGGCTTCTCAAGTGTCAGTGTTACTGAGAATTACTCTCTCCTCTCAAAACAATGCTGAGGCTTTGAATCTAGAATTTAGAACAGACTATAGGGAAACTCTCACACAGACACAAATCAACAACCACAGGCACATTACAAAGAAAGCCATTCACCCAGAACAGACACTGAAAGATGCAATCTATGCAAATGAACATCACTATAATGAGAAAACACAATAACTAATTCCT